AACGTCAGTTTGAAGATGGCAGGAAATGAATTAATTCTCAATAGTAGTCCAGAGAACCCATTTTTAGCATGCAACACAGGACCTCAGGGTCGATGAAGATGCTCCCAAGTTCACTGACCTTTTGAAACCTTTTAAGTTGTGCAATTTACAACACCAGCAACATCACTTTGCATGGGAATTGTTCAGGTTCATGGGAAATATTCCAGTTGAAATGCACAGAATAAATACATCACCATCATAAATTACATTACAACTACCTAATCTTTAACGAGCAAGATGCAGACAGATTATATGAACTGTCACAGACACAGAGCATGTAAGAAATGAGGACTCTTCATTCTTTTATGCTTTTAACAACTTAAAACACATGTTGATATAGCTTTTCCTTGGAAGTTCTACCAGGATTGGAGCAAGCTATCTTCATGACTTTGTGTTATCCTGAATGGATGGAAAAACAGGCTTAACTGGGTTGCTTTCGGAGGACAGCTACAAACTGGATCTCTGTCGTATTCATTTTATTGGTGCTTGAGCGTTGAGAGTTACATCTGATGAAGGAAGCATTGATCATCAGAAACATGTTGATAAAATCAGAACCTCCGAACTATGCCCAACAACTATACATCAATAAGTTCGAAACTTTAGAAAAACTTGCAAATAATCGGTGTGTAAACTAACACAAAACACAGAAGGGAAAAAATTCAAGAAAGCAGATGAGTTAGAGAAACTTGAATTTTAAACTAGCCGCCCATCTTTTCAGCTGATGAAGAATTCAATGGACTTCCATTTAAACAATATGCTGAACCATCACAAATATGGATATCCTATAAATATGGCACTGCCAACTTCCCAACTCCTATTCTAATTAACAGGAATCCAATTTTACTTAAATTTAGTGTCCTTCCTCATACTTGTTTCAGCTGCAATGATTTTTTTTGAAGAATTTGCCAAAGTTGTTATCAACAAAGTGTTCATAGGGTTATAACAGGAAGGGGTGCATTTAAGTGGCTTACCCAATCCCTTGGGAGCAGAAGGAATGAGCAAAAAAAATTCGAACACAGAAGGGAAAAAATTCAAGAAAGCAAATGAGTTAGAGAAATTTGAATTTTAAACTAGCCACCCATCTTTTCAGTTGATGAAGGATTCAATGGACTTCCATTTAAACATTATGCTGAACCATCGCAAAAATGGATATCCTATAAATATGGCACTGCCAACTTCCCAACTCCTATTCTAATAACAGAAATCCAATTTTACTTAAATTCAGTGTCCTTCCTCATACTTGTTTCAGCTGCAATGATTTTTTTTGAAGAATTTGCCAAAGTTGTTATCAACAAAGTGTTCATAGGGTAATAACAGGAAGGGGTGCATTTAAGCTTCATGTCTTACCCAATCCCTTGGGAGCAGAAGGAATGAGCAAAAAAAAAAAAAAAAAATTAGTTACTAAAAAAATCAGTTACTGATTATTTTGGAAGTTTAGATTCTCTTTACCATAGTTTATCTCAAATCCCAAATCCCAACTCTACTGTTCATAAATTTATAATGAGCCCTAACCTTTTCCACCCACCTTTTGGCCTTGAAATTAACAATGACAAACTCTGACATACTACCTGTCCAAAACTACAACTTTGAAAGCTATCAGATTCTAACCCGCTCCATCTACGGGCCAACAAAACTTTCTTCTATGTATTAAAATCCTGAAGATACAAGCTTTCAATACCCCCAACCCATCATTAAAATCAATCATAGGGAGCAACATCTTAAATTTTTTGGTGCTGTCTTACATCATTCTTTAATATTGAGATCAAATTCATGGTTTTAGGTTGTATAGGGAACGAAAAGGTTCCTTTGTCTTGTTCAACATATCTTTGCTTTAAGTCCTATCAACAAAAGAAATTTGTGTTCCTAGTTCCTACTTGAACTCATCTTGAGGCCAAGTCCCTACATCTAGTAGGTTTCCTTATTCCATCTCCACAGAAACCACAAAAAGATGGTAAAGAAAGGAACCAACTTTACCCAAAATAAAATCAGGATAAAGTAATTTTGCAACTAGTACACAAAAGAAGTTACCCCTCCTACATGGGGTATAAGCTCTACTTCCCCTCACTCCTAGACATTAAACAATTCAATTTGGAGAAGATAGGTGTAACATCAGTAGTTTGATATTCCCCCGCTATACATACCAGTACTTTTAATTTTCCTAGATCGTACTTCAAGTTTTCAACTATCATTCCAAACTTAGTAGGATTAGCAAAATTTATCATTTAGAAGAAATTCCGTTACATACCTCTTGACAATTAAATTCATGAAAATAGTACCCCTTTTCCTAGTTATCAATTCGTCTGGACATTGTTTAGGGGTAGTGATTATAACTTATCCCCATGGTTAGTACCTCAAAAATTATCCATGTGTTGTGTCTGTATCTGTGCTTCTTAGGAAGGTTATATTATACACACACACAAACACACTCACAAACCCCCATCCACATTTCTCATGGAAGGCCATTTGGATGATTTCCCATGTGATGCAACACCACATGCATATCTAGAACAACAGAATTTAGCATTCGGTGTCGTATCACTGATATAGCGATCCCGATTTTGACCCAACCTTTGTTACATTCTGGACTGCGGTTTCGTGATTTAATATTGTATCCATGTCTTATTTTCCTCCTTTAACTCTTTGAATTTGAGTTTTGGAAGAAGTTGGACGTGTTTGGAATAGGTTGATTGTTAGTTGGTATAGATTGTTGTTGCCCAGATTTTGGCTTCTTCGCTCGAGCGAGCCTTCTTACGCTCGAGCGAGAGTTGAGAGTTCTCAGGTTTCTTTCCCAGACACAGAATTTCTGAGAATGTGAAGTTTTTCGTTCGAGTGAGGCTTCTTGCGCTCGAGCAAGCGTGTGTGTCTGTAAAACTTTTGAAGCTTTGCATTCTGCGCTCGAGCAACGTCACTTGTTGTGTCTGGTCGCTCGAGCGACAGCTCTTTCGCTCGAGCGAAGGTCGCGTATATCAGTTTGCAGCAGAGGAGTTTTATATCACTTTTTGATTTCATTTTTGCAAGAAACCCTTTTAAAACTCTTTCTCTCTATAAATACTCTTTGATCCAAGCATCACTACCCTACTTCCTTTGAGAAAAAAGTGGAGCATCTTGTGGGCTTCCATTCCATCCGAACCAAGCTTGGTTTTATGCACTTTTGAAGATCTCGTTCTTCTCCTCTAGGCTTCTACACTTGAGGTAGGGATATTCTACACCTTGTCATCGTTTTTAACCTAGGTATTTGTCATTTTATATAAGTGGTGGAATTTGGGAGGATTTGAGTGAAGTTTGGGTTTGTGTTCAAAGTTTAAAAGAGGAATTTTTATATTGGGTTCCATGAATGTATATATATGGGGTATTGAATATGAGGTTATATGGGTTAAAATGATGAACTTGGACTTGGGATTGATATTTGGAAAAGGAGAAAAATTGCCCTAAATTGTGCTAAATAATTATTTTGTATGAATAATGAAATTGATATGGGAAATATGAAATTGGAAGGATGTGTGAATGAATGGTGTTGTTGGATTTGATAAATCACTCAGTTATGAAAGATTTGATAAATTATCTGCTTGATAAATTGTACATCTGTTTAGAAATATCTATTTTGGGCTATCGATGGATGATAACCATGATTGTTGTAGAAACTGTATGAGGACTAGGTGAATTGAAACTGGTCACTTGAATTATGTCATTGAATATGATGGTTTGATTAAACCATGGAATATGTGATTTGGATAGTCATTGTATATAACAACGCTTTTACATACATTGTATATGTATTATTGTTTGGGAGGAGATAGGGGATGGACTCCATTTAAAATTACGTTGGTCGGAGTATCCATGGTGAAAGACCCGAAATCTTATATATATATGGGTGCCGATTCCTTCGGACGAGAATCCGTAAAATGGCAAGAAGATTGAAGTGTTTGAATAATTAATGTTATTGAATTGCGAATGAATGAGTTGTAGTCTCGTTTGAGATTGTTTAGATGATAAGGAACTACACTTATGCATTAATTTGAAATGAATGAATGGAAATGGATTAAGATGTGGTTATCAATATTGAATGGTAATAGGGAGAATGTAATTTGGCCTTGAGTATTGGACTTTTATTTGACATTTATATCTTAGTTAAATCTCATATATTGTGTTAGTTTATCTCTACTAGGTTTTGCCTCATCCTACTTGGAAAACCATTTCAGGTACAGGTGACATGCCTCCTCCAAGAGTGTAGCTTGGAAGGACTTAGGAGTTGGAGGCTTTGTTTTGTTACTTTTGTGTTTAAATATTTATTCAAGCCAAATGCTTTACATGTATAGAGCTTAGGACTCTTTTGTTGTAACCAAGTGATATCTTGAAAAGATGTAAGCTCGTGGGACATTTATTCTGTTGTAATCAACCATTGTTACCTGTTGTTGTTTCAGAATGAATATTTATGAAAGTATAATGCATGTAATATCTCTTGTAATATAAACTCTGATGAATGAAAGTATAACACTTTCTATTATGTTCATGAATCTCATGGGATGGATTATTCACTTTATTTTGAGGGCGTGACAACTGAGCAACAAAAACAATGTCAAACATATCAAAATTTGCATTTCAGGGCTCATTACCATTTGCTTCACTGCTCCATGCTACCCCATAAAACTCTCTTTTTCATATAGCCCAGCAGAAGAAAATCAGCAAGACCAAAAGCTTAGTGGCCAAATTGTTCACAGTTTCACACTATCAAACGAACAATGTGTACAAATAGCCAAATGAATAAGACTTTCTGTATGTGCTTACATGTTATAAGAATATCCTAAAAGCCAACATCTAGCACTAAAGTCAATCTATACTAATTGAAATTGCACGTGCACAATATTTTCAAGCCAGCTTGTAATCCTATCCGGGGTTTGGGTTGATATTACACCTCTTCGAACAGAATGTTGCATTTGAAACAACTTATGTTTGGATTTGATGATCATGCAAAAATCACCATGCTTGTCACAAGATTAGACAATAACCAATTCCCAATACAGTAGTTTCAAGCAATTATTCATACTCAAGGACACAACTATAGGAACAAAAAGAGCAGAAGATACACACTGATAACATAGTGCTCAAGGTAATCATAAAAGTCACATGATTGTTTCAACTTCTAGTTTACAATCAACTCGCAACCATCTCCGATCCTAATATCAATGTCCCAATCCATTTCCAACTTCATCCTACGAATTGATATTTCAAGCTTAAACATAGCCACCTATGTAAAAAAAATAAAAAAAAAACCCTTAAACATAGCCCTCAGCTGAACATATAATCTTCATAATCTTATTTTACAATAGTTTGCATTCACAAAATGAATCTTTAATGCTGTGTTTGGTTAGAAAATTTGGAAAGAGATTAAAGAGAAAAGGTAACCTTTTCCCTTTCTCTTTCTAAATGCCTTCGCCAACCAAACACAGTGTAAAATCCTCCCAATTTAATTCTCATTGGATAGGGTCTTATGAATCTTCATTCTCTAATTTCATTTCCCATATATCCAATCAAAATTAACCAACCAACTAGATTCATAAAACCGCATAAACTAAAAAACACACACACATTAACAGAAAAAAAATCATAAAAGCACATACCTTCAAGACCCAATCCAAATAAAATGTTCTGAACAAACCCCGGTTCAAAATCACTCCTCATCATCACTCTCATCACTAAAATAACTCGATTTCTTCTCTCTCTTCCCATTCTCCTTCTTCCTCTTCCTCCCAATCTCCTCTTTCTCTCCCATCAACCTCCTCTCATCTGCATCTGTATCCACCACAGAAGCCCAATTATCATCTTCAAACACTTCCCCACCACCACCCTCCTCCTCCTCCTCCTCCCACTCCTCCTCCCCTCCCTTCCTCCCACCTCCCCTTCCCCCACTCCACCCTTCTCCGTCCCTCCGCGATCGTTTCGAAGGCTGAGGCCTCTCTCTCGGCCCCAACTGGTTCTTCGGACACTCGTACGACAAATGCCCACTCTCTCCACACTCATAACACCTGCTCTTATCCTTATAGACTTTCCGGCGAATAAACTCCGATGCACGGCCGTTATCGGAGGCGATTGAGGCGGTTAGGGTTCGGCCATTGAGGAGCTTGCCGTTGACGGCCCGGGCGGCGGCGAGGGCTTCGTCGCGGGAGACGAAGAGGACGAAGGCGACGCCGCGGCTCTGGCGGGTGAGGCGGTCCTTGAGGATGGTGACCTTGGCGACCTTGCCGAAGGTGGAGAAGATGGTGAAGAGATCGGAGTTGGTGAGGGTGTAGTCGAGGTTGCTGATGTAGACAGTGGATTTGGATGGAGCAAGGCCTCCGCTTCCTCCTCCCCCGCCGCCGGAGGGCTTGGATGGGGTTTTGGATGAGGCGGAGGTGGAGGGTGGTGGTGGGGCGGAGGAGTAGCGGTAGTAGAAGGTTTCGTCTTCGTCGGTGTCGCTGTTGCTGTTGTTCTTCCGCACCATCTCTCTCTCTCTCTCTCTCTCTCTAGAATTGCTCTCTATTTTCTCTCTTGGGATTAATCATTTTAGCCTTCTAAGAGCATCTTCAACGGTGACTTAAATTTTTTATTAAATTTGAGTTAAAAATGATCTATTTCATCAAATTTGATACCACTCACTCCAACGGTTCACCTTTAACTAAATTTATTCCGGGACAACTGGGTGGTCGACCGGCCGATTGACCGGTTAGGCAAAAAAAAATTTTTTTTTTTTAACGATTTGAACTTTTTTCCTGAACTATTTGAATCTTTTACTAGTTGACCGGTTGGTCAACCGGCTGGTCGACCCGGTCCCCCTTGCAACGGTCACCAACAGAGTGTTTTGGTGAAATCAGTATTTCGTCGTCAGTTTGATGAATTTTTTGATGAAATCTCAATTTGATATTCATTTGGTACCACCGTTGGAGCTGTGAACAGTGATTTTTTCATCAAAATTTGAATTTGATATCAGTTTTGGTGAACCATTGGAGATGGTCTAAGAGCATCTAAAATGCTTGAACAAATTTTTTTATCAAATTTGAGGGAAAAAAAAGACAGGTGACTCAATCTGATATTAATTACTTTAATGGTGTACCGTAATTTTTATCAAAATGCACTAGACGTTCGGGGGACGATCGGCCAGTCAATCAAAAAGAGCAAAATCTGTACAATTCTGTAATTGAATTTTTAAGCTTGAGGGTCATTTGGGGGTCGACCAGGAGGTAGACCTCCCAGTGTAAAATCTACACAAAATTTGAAAGAAAATTGGTTATCCGGTAGTGAAAATACAACGATAATGAACAGTGTTTTGGTGAAAGACCTAGGGCATTCTCAGTTTGGTAAAATTTTTGCTTAATTCTCAATTTGATATGAAACCATTGGAGAGAGAAAAAGTGACTTTTTCATCAAATTTCAAATCTGATACACAATTTGATGCAATGTTGGAGATGATCTAAATGGTCTCTTAAAATTCCTTTATTAAAAAAAAATGGTTTCTTAAAATTATTTTTGTAAAAATAGTAAAAAAATTTAAGATAATTTAGGCTAGGTTTGGCATAACACAAAAAAGTCAAAAAATTAAAAAGTCACTATCCTATTTAAGTTACATTGTCTTATTTAAGTCACATCACTTCTTTACCACATCACTTCAAACCCAACCCATATTTCATAAGGCAGTGGCTTTGGTCCAGTCCAAGATCAGATTGGACCGTGCTGTTAGGCCCGTGGAGGCCCACCACGGGTCCCATTTTGATAATCCGAACCGTTCAATGTGTAGAACTCGTCAAGTACTGTATGCCTGTAAAAAATCACGTTGATCGGATATTGAGAGCTATATGAACAAAATAGTTTTTTATCAACCGTTAATTGTTTCACCGTCAATTTTTTTTTTATACAAAACTGATTTGATCACATAGTTATTGATATCCGATCAACGTGATTTTTTATAGGCATGTAGTACTCGACGAGTTCTACACATTAACGGTTCGGATTATCAAAACGGACCCAAAAAAGGGCCCCATGGGCCGAACTGGACGGGTCCAGTCTTGATCTCAACTTGAGACAAGCTGGACCCATTTCATAAAAAGTCAAAAAGTGCACTTATTTAGATCATCCCAAATTAGTAAAAATCGTGTGTTTTCTCATTATCCAAAATTAATTGAAAGAAAAACTTTAGAAATAATATCGTATAGATGAAAAATAAAAAATAATTGTAAATGAATAAAAATTTTATGGAACAGTGATGGCTTCTCTACTGTGTTAACTTATTAAGTTCTGTTTGGTAGAGTTGCGGAAAAGTGATTATAGAGTATAATTTAACAGATTATAACTTGTAGCTGTGAACATAAGCTATTAACCTATTTGGTGCAGCTGTGTGATTATGAATTTAAACAGCAGAGTAATGTTTGGTTAATAAGCTGTAAAATAACTTTTTATTGTTTAATTGTCATTTTTGCCCTTATATGATATAAAAATAGGACTTATACGTAAGTATCCCTAACTTTTTGCTGTGTAATTGTCCTTTTTACCTTTATATGATATAAAAATAATTATTTTGTCATTTTTTCAGTTTTAATTTTTAAAAAGTTATTTCATTAATAAAAGTTAATATAATTAGTATTAGAAAAATTATTATTTTCATTATAAATTAATTAGTGTCAATTAATGACTTAATTAGCATCATTACTTTTTTTATTTAATTTATTAATTCATTACAATTAATATAAATTAATATCCATGTATTTATATTAATGTTGTGATGTCATTACTTATTATTTTTCTTTATATTAATTTCAATTAGTTATTTAATAGTAGTTATAATATTTTTCTTTGTATTTCATTTTTTTTCCATTAATTTTGTATTTATTAATTTTGTAATATAATATCCATTTTTAATAGAAGTTAATAGAAGTTATAATTTTGCTTTTATTTAATAGAAGTTATAATAGTTTTTTTTATAATATCCATTTTTATAAATGTCCAGTTTTTTTTCATTATCCATTTTTTATAATATCCATTGTTTTTTAAATGTCCAGTTTTTTTTCATTATCCAATTTTTTTTTATAATATCCATTTTTATAAATGTCCAGTTTTTTTTCATTATCCAATTTTTTTTTATAATATCCATTTTTATAAATGTCCAGTTTTTTTTCATTATCCAATTTTTTTTTATAATATCCATTTTTATAAATGTCCAGTTTTTTTTCATTATCCAATTTTTTTTTATAATATCCATTTTTATAAATGTCCAGTTTTTTTTCATTATCCAATTTTTTTTTATAATATCCATTTTTATAAATTTCCCAAAAAAATTTTCATTATCCAGTTTTTTTTTTCATTTTTTGTCATTAATTTTGTAATATAATATCCATTTTTAATAGAAGTTAATAAAAGTTAATTTTATTTTTATTTAATAGAAGTTATAATAGTTTTTTTTTATATAATATCCATTTTTATTAATTTTTTTTCATTACAATTAATAATATAACAATTGTTATTTTTTTAATTTATTATTATTTTTCATAACAATTAGTAATATAACAATTGTGCAATTTATTTCTTTATTTAAATTGTGCAATTATGCAATTTTCATCAATAATTGTGAAATAAATTAAATGGAAGTTAATAAAAGTTATTTTTTTTTTTCTTCTTTTTTTTCATTACAATTTTGCAAAACCCTAGATCTGATTTTGCCTTTGCCGGAGCCTGAGTCGGGCTTTATCCACGGAGTCTTCTCCGAACCAGAATAACTCCGTACCGATTCAATTGGACTCGCTGCCAATTGTGAGGGTGTGTTTGACTGATCTGGGAAGAATCCTGTTAGACTCATTTATTTTGATAATTTATTTAGTTATGTTTTAATTTATTTGAAAGAGAAAAATAGAATCCAAAATTTATTTTGATGATTTATTTAATTATATTTTAATCAAAATTTATTTTGATGATTTATTTGAAAAAGAAAAATAGAATCAAAATTTATTTTGTCCCATTATTTCTCACCTAAACCTTTATCTTAAATGTTGTTAGAATATATTTAATATTTGATTAAATCAGGAGTTCAAACAATCCAAAACAAATGTTCAAACAGCTTAGCACAGCAGCAGGCTAAAAGGTTCAAAAGGTTCAAGTGAAAAATATTCAAATTAGTAATGATGGAAGTACAACGGCTATAAACGACTATACAGGTTCAAAAGGCCAAAATGTTCAAAAGGTTCAAGTGGAAGATATTCAAATTTGTAATGATGGAGTGGAAGATATTTAAATTGGTAATGATGAAATTACAACGGCTATAAATTCAAATGACTACAAGGGCTATAAACGGTTATAAATTCAAATGAATATAACGGCTATAAATGGCTATAATTTTTTTTAGGTATACCAAAGCCTCTAATGTAAACAAGTTACAAAAAACCTGAAAATATTCTTTGATCTATAATCACTCACATCTATTCTTAGAAATTATACACTAAGCCTTATAGCTTTAAGCCCATCTTTCTTGTGTGAGATTTACAGAAAAATCAAAATTTCATTTTATATATCTATCTTTGAGAGATATTGATTGTAAACTTTCTTTGAAAGCAAAAATACCATTTCATCTTGTAAAAGTGTTGCAAACACTGTGCTCTTGAAATCTTGAGAGTGATTGTGAATCACCTAAGATTTGCAAGGGTTTGAACTTGTGAAGTCTGTGTAAAATCCGTGGAGGATTGCTTCATTTGTAAAGAGGTTGCTAGCACCCCTGTGAAGTTAGAAGATAGTGGAAAATCTCAAGTGAAGCTTGAGGAGTGGACGTAGGCCGAGTTGAAGCCGAACCACTATAAATTTGTTTGCCTCTCTCTCCCTTATCTCTTTATTTTATTTTAAATTGCCATAGCTATATTTCACATTTTTAATGTGCTAAAATCATTAACTGACACAGTTGTTAAGACACTTGTTTTAATTATTTTTATTTCATTAATTATATTTATCTATTGTGCCAGTGATAATTTTTATTAGGGTATTATTAATTTTAATTGTAAAAACTTAATTCACCCCCCTCTTAGGTTGTCTTTTGGGTAACAAACCCAAATGGGTCGAAAGGTTTTGAAGGGGTTGGGAAGCGATTGGGTGGTGGAGAGACCACTAGAGAGCTCGGATCGAAATGGGGATTCCACAAAATCGCCCCATTCGTCGTCATTGTAGTCGACTGTCGATTTTCGACCGTGGATCTGATCGGAATAGAGAGCGTGATTGGCGAAAGACGCAAACGTGAAGTCGTCGAAGCCCTCATTGTTGTCTTCCTCTGCTTTAGTATCCACCATAGCCGAGAACTCTCTCTCTCTCTCTCTGGGTTTTTTTGGTGATCGTGTGTGGTTTCAAAGCTCACATCTGACCGTCGAAGCCCTCATCGTGGTCTTCCTCTACTTTGATGATCATTGTCTTCACCGAAAATCGCATGTGACCGCCATAAATCGCCTCTCACGCCGAAAATCACCTATCTCTCTCTCTCTCTCTCTCTCTCCCTCTCTCAGAGTGAACAGTGTTAGGTTTGAACTTAGAACTGT